TATATATATATATATATAGAGAGAGAGAGAGAGAGAGAGAGAGAGAGAGAGAGAGAGAGAGAGCACACGTTTCTCTGTCTCCCCAGGGCCTCAGGCCAGATGTGAAAGGGGCTTGAAGGGTGTTTGCCCTGAGCCTGGCAGCTCTCTCTGGAGGAGCTCCTGTCTCTCTGCCCTGTTTGTCTTTACTTTTGAAAAGGCAGTAGAGGAGGCAACGTGAGCTACAAAGCGCTCTGAATAAGCACGGCTTCCAAAGCGGCCACCGTGTCATTTCTGTGCTGCTCTTGGACCTGTGTGAAGGGCCTTCCAGAAGGCTTTTACTTTTCTTTTTTTTTTTTTCTTATTAGCTGAAATTCAATCCTTTATTATTCAGGTACAGAAGAAATAAATAAGCATAGGAGCAATGTCTTGTTCTCCTATATTTTCCTCAATATGTTGGAAAAAACCTCTTCTTGATTTGAATACAAGTACACCACTACTTTGTCATCTAGGCCATTTAATGTTGTGTAACATGTATATATACAGCACCTCGCATTCATATTTAATGGAGTAGTGTACAATGAGTGAGTTCCAGATGTAGAAATGTTCTGTACGTAGTTTGACTGGTAAACTTCTCAGCGGCACGGATCATGTCTCTGTCTTACACTTTACCTCTACTTTAAATGGCTACAGGTCCCATTTTGGGGAACTTTTTATAACAGTGATTCTCAAACTTGAGCGTATATAAGAATTACTTTGAAAATAAGTTTCCTGCACCCCATCCCCAGAGATTTTTTTTTTGAATTTTATTTTATTTTTTTATACAGCAGGTTCTTATTAGCTATCTATTTTATACGTATTAGTGTATATATGTCAATCCCAATCTCCCAATTCATCCCGCTCCGAAGCCTTTTTCTTCTCCTTGCCTAAGAAATGAAGTCAAGTTTAACTCTAGGGGAACTCTGCAACCAGGACGGGCCGTCAGGTCAATAACATGAAGATGTGATGATGATGATTTTACGTGAAATGATGTGAAATGTCTCTGTTCATGGTGCTTCCTTTTTTTTTCAGGTGTAAAAAAAAAAAAACATATACATACACAAGGTATATATAAAATATATATTTTAAGGTATGTATGTATACATACATACATAATATATATACGTGGTTAAAAATGTTCCTTATATTTTCTTCCAAAAATTTGAAATGCATATAAAAGCATATATTAATATATTAATATATCTATTCATTTTCCCACAGATTGGATCATACATTACATATCATTCTGTACCCTGCTTTTTTTCCACTTAATAATATATTTTGGACATATTTTCACTTCAACATGTGTAGATTTACCTTAGTGGTTTTGGGGGCTCTCTTGTATTCTCTTGCATGAATTCACTATCATTTATTCAGCCAGTCCTTATTAATATTTAGGTTGATTCAGGTTTTTTGCTATTAGGAGCAGAAGCAATGCTACAGTGGGTATCCATATATACTTGTATGCCCTGCCATAATTTTTTCAGGAGTAGAATTGCTGGATCAAAGAGTTATGTGTGGGGCTTCCCTGGTGGCGCAGTGGTTGAGAGTCCGCCTGCCGATGCAGGGGACACGGGTTCGTGCCCCAGTCCGGGAGGATCCCACATGCCGCAGAGCGGCTGGACCCGTGAGCCATGGCTGCTGAGCCTGCGCATCCGGAGCCTGTGCTCTGCAACGCGAGAGGCCACAACAGTGAGACGCCCGCGTACCGGGAAAAAAAAAAAAAAAAGAGTATGTGTGTATTTAAAATGTTGGAATTGTCACAGTGCTTCGTTCTTGGGGGAACCTAGGAAAAACACTTCAGGGTGCAAAACTCACTAGCATTGGGAGTTCATCCAGTGTTTAAGAGGAGCAGCTGCTAAGCTCCAGATAGCTGTTTGCCATGCTGAGGATGGAATTGCCAGAACTTTGGATTTTTAAGAGAAGCTAAAAATCCAAACTTACATATAAAATGTCCAGATTTTTAAATGATAGCTCACATTAAAAAAATGTGTCAGCTAAACAAAATACGTTTATGGGCTACTGATATATAAGGAACATTTGCAATAAGGACTACTACTACTTAATATTATTGTTATTTTGTTCAGTATGATTGAAAAATGAACTCACCATTGATTTAAAAGGTAGAAGGGGGAATCTGGGGTTGTTTTAAGTTTGAACATTCATATTGCTTATTTTCTTTTTCATGCAGGATAAAATTGGTACAAATTTTAATAAAACGGAGGAATTTAGTTTTGAGGGAAAAACAAATTCCACCTACTAAAGAACAAGAAACCCTAGATATTTTTGCATGATACAATTTAGAAGCTCAAGCAAGGCGTTAAGGAAAACTGAACATTATGTTTTTTCTTGAGTAGCAATAGCGTGAAAGACCAAGGAGCGTCCATATTTGGAATTCTCTGAATAATGAAGAGTAATTTCAAAACAGTGTGTGCACCGCCTACATTCCCTTTCTGAATCTGGAGCTGGTGGAGGAAGGGCTGCAAATATAAGTTAAAGCTACATTCTCTGTGTTGTCCCAAATTGGGAAAAAAATCAGAAAAGAAGACATATAGGAGAGCAAATAATGAAGCAAAGGCATGAACTTAAAATTACTTGCAGTGTCAGAAAATAAAACAGTAACATTATTTAATTCTAATATAATCCACTTTCATTTACACAAGCCTTCAAAAGCTTGAAGACTGTCAGCAGAATAACTGATGCATTTACAGATCTCCAAGTAGTGGAAAAATGTTGCTCTTGTCTTTGACCTTGTAAAATACTTTATGTTTAAGAAATAGTAAACAACCTCAAAGTCATGTCACTACATCATTATCCTTACGTTCATTTTCATTAACGTAGTTGTGCTTCATATAACACTCTGTTCTAGGGAGCTTAATAATGGTTAATGAGATGTCACTGTACCGCGCAGGCTCAGCGGCCATGGCTCATGGGCCCAG